AGGGGGGGGGGGGGGGGGGTCGCTGTGCAGTAAATCATACGCTTGAGTCTACTCGAGATAGTAACAATGAATGCATCCTTTGTTAACTTCGAAGACTTGCCCTTTTGTGTGTAATAGCACGAAACGAAGGGTGAAATTTTTACACATCAATAATTGTTTATGTACTGATCCACGGGCTGTGAATTCGAATGCACATTTTCATTAGTTTCAAGGGCTATTTTCTGGATTGTTACACCGTATAGTCTGGTAAAATTTTACCGACGTTTCAGAAGTGCTTGCTGCCTCAGCTCAGTAGCAACTATATTAACCACATACTGTAAAATTCAGTAGTTCGTCAGTTTGCCAGCAGAGTGTATTAATCAGTGTACTGTGATTATCAAAGAATAAAAATATATTTTCCCAAACCATTAATAGCTGATTTTTAATGGTGACGCTTTGGATTAAATTCGCGGTGGGAAATTACTTGTATTTAGATGAGATATACAGATATATTAATCAGAAATGAAAATTCCGCTGTCTGAAACTTCTACTTCTTTCACCAACGCCTCACTCTCGTTCTGTCCCTATTACTATTAAGTACTATCTAAAATGTTGCTATTTCTCTAGAGATAAAACGGCCTGATCCAGAAGCTGATCACATAATTCCATCAAGTTCCAATATAAGCAATGTGTACAGAGTTAACTACGCGTTCATTCCTTCATGCCGTGTTCTTTGGCACACAAATAAGTCACCTTACATAGTACACATCTTATTTACCCAGGCTCAAGGAAACAACCAGTAGCACTGACATTTCCGGCTACGTTGCAAAGTACCTTCAGTAGAAAGGGAAATATTTTTCTATCCTACTAGTCATTAAGGGAAATCAGCCGTCTGGCACCTCGCCCTAGGCCACACAGTGAGTAGGTCAGCACAGTTGTGTTCTCTGATTGCAGGAAGCTACTTCGTTCTTCAGCAATGGATGCCACGGAGTTCAGAAAGTTCGGTAAAGCTGCTGTCGACTACCTAGCCGATTACCTGGAAAATCTACGGGACAGGTGAGGGAAATCTTCAAGACATCACGCCACCCCGGGTTAGGTCGGTGGGACACGAGCTATGGCCTTGAGTTATTCTACACTCAAGTGAGTATGGCAAAACTCAGGGCCAGGAAAGCTTACAGTGTGCTACGTGTCCTAACGTTTCTTTAGTTCCTTCGTCAAATCGTTGTCTACACAATGACTAACTATAAGATCAAAATCCAACAAAACTTTACGAGCGTTAAGAAGGATTCACCGTCGAAAGATGTGTTCAGGTTCCGCGGGTTCGTTACTCGGGGTGACAGTTGCCGTTGTGTACAGACAGCTACTCTACCGACATTGTAAAGAAACCCTCCAGTTATTGGTACTGCTTGTGCTGGAGCTCCTGAAATCGTCCACATTTACGGAGAAATACAACGAAGCACGATTAGTCGAGACGTACCCTTAGCAATGGTGGCTTACGCTTTAAAATCTCCTTCACCATAAATTTGTGACACATAAATGTGTTTTCTGACAGAATTTAGTTCTTAAAAATATTACAATTAAGGAAACAAGTTTTATATTATTCTTTAAAGACGCTGTTTCATAGATAACGGTTATAAACCTTCGAATGAAATGTTAAGATAAACATTTACATGATGGAAGGATTCGTAAGGAGGCAAAGTTCATAAGATGGCTGGTTTTTCGTAAATAGATTCCCGATTACAAACCCGTAGCTTTATCACTACATACAACTGCTGAATACAATCATTATTCAACTGAATTTGTCTTTTGAGTCTACGAAATTAAATTCTCTTGTTCTGAACGCTCTTTAAGAAGCCCCTACTTCCAAAACTAACACCCTGTTTCCGAAACAGTAGGGTTATTGCTTATTTTTTGACTGATCGTGCAACAAAAACCTCGATCCGTAAGAATCCTCGAGAATTTCATCACTTATTTTAGGGCGAAGTGGAGTGAACAGAAGTCGGCTTGCCTCAACTTCATTGGCTGATGAAAGAGATTCAGTATGATCTCAAGGCGACGAAGGATCAAACCGATTCCACAATACCGGTACATTTATCTTTGCATGCTGTATCATATGAAGCTGTTTCTTACCGTCGAATGATAGGAGAAGATCATTTTTTTTTCAGAGAACTTAAAAAGACTGGTAAAGATGTCTATTTCAGAGTACTGCATTCGCATACGTGGGATGAGGAAACACTCAAACCCAAGCCAAAATAGTCCATGTGTAGGCCAAGATTATAACTGAAAACATTCGGAATACAAGTCAAAATCACCACCGCTTGGGTCATATTAATGTGAAGAACAGAATAAGGAGTAATTCGCTATTTCAGTCCTTAACATAGGTGTCTTGTATTTAACATATATTAACCGCAACTGTCTGTCGGAAACATGATAATCATGTTCATGTTCCAGACCGGTACTGCCTTCAGTGGAGCCCGGCTACCTACAAAACCTTATCCCGGGGGACGCGCCAGAGCAGCCAGAGAAGTGGCAGGACATTCTCGTCGACATTGAACGGGTCATCATGCCCGGGGTACAAATATTATGTTTACTTTTAGACTTTTATTTTTATTTATTTTACTTTTGTTACATTTGGTATTGAATTTATTTAATTGAAACACAAAGTACTGGTATAATGTTAATATTCGTAAAGGACCTTTACATAATTTGTTAATGATACTCGTTTCTCGATCACTTTTAAAGGACGCGAGGTAAAACATTTTCTATTACAGGTCACGCACTGGCATTCGCCACATTTTCATGCGTACTATCCAACTGCAAACTCCTATCCCGGAATCGTGGGAGAAATGCTGAGTGCTGGCATTGGCTGCATCGGATTTAGCTGGGTAAGTCTCAGGGTCACATCATTTCATAGTTTCAGGGATTTTCGCTATTAAAAGTCGAAAAAATGTGGGGGGGGGACTTCCGACTCTGAAACTACTAGAACCATTTAAGGACCCAAAGTGCCACGACTATTATCATATGCACACATTTACTTGGCAGATATTGTCTCGGTTGAGGATACTAAACCCCTGAAATGTTGATATCCTTCAGCAAGTCTACATTGTGTTATAACCCACTTGACTTCACAGCCACTACAGCTTCAAATCTCGTATTTTCTGTCTTGTTAATTTATGAGTTTTTTGAGTCGCATAAGGCATACAGCTACGATCTGAAATTCTGGGGATTTCCCTTCACCGGATTAGACAGAGCTGTCACATGCAATTATGAATATGTTACGTAGAGTTATCTCATATCGCGCTCATAGGAATAAATTATGAATATTAGTATTTTGGGGATGTATATATGTACCTGTAAAACTTCATGAGGCATCAGTGTCCTTCAGGAACTAATTGTCATGTATCAATAAATTCACTGTCATACATTTTCGGTTACGTAGAGTAAAGTTAGGTTATGTCAGGTTAGGACATGTTATTTCCTATTTTAAGTTATGTCACTCTAGATCATGTGTGATAAGGTTCGGTTGTCAAATCCTACTTTGTTGTTTTATTTTCAGTTCAGAAATATTAGGTTATTTTTTATTTAGGTTTGGTTACGTTAAATTTGAAAATTATGAGGGTATTGAAATGCGAGACAAATCTATTTCGTGCTCCATCCCGGTTTGGTTACGTTAAACATGCTGCTTCCCAATACGACGTGTGCTTACAGATCACGAGTCCTGCTTGCACTGAGCTTGAGGTGGCCATGATGGATTGGCTGGGAAAGCTCATACAGCTTCCCCGCGAGTTCCTCAACTGTTCCGATGGTCCAGGTGGGGGCGTCATCCAGGTACCATGCTTTGTTGTAGAACTTATTGATAATAATGTAACACACACAATGTTTGTCTTTCAAAAATTGGTTTTCAGCAACATTCTGATTACTTTTTGTTTAAACATTAATTAGTGGTTTCAATATACATCAAATTTGGTGTTGGCTTGTTTATCAATTAATGAAATTGTTTACTGACATGAATATGCGTTTTAAAATAACGAACAAAATAAAAAATAAAGCTCACAACAACTTGAATTAATAGTAATTGTAATTATTGCGGAAATCAAAATTATTTTACAATCAAGGCGCATGGAAATGTTTGTTCAAAACGCCAACATGAACAGAGAAAAGTTAATCAATCCTACCATCATGAGTCGTTTTTTTCTCTAGAAAGGTCAATATTTGGTGAGATTTCAGGTTCTTATGGCGGCGAGTATGAAGATGATTATCTTCAGGCATGTTTCACCATGCAGTCTGGTAAAAACTATCCGACATTTCAGAGGTGCTGAGCGCATCAATCCCTGATGATAGCTGCAGTAAATACCTTTGAAACATCGGTAGATTTCTACCAGACTAGACGGCGCTGCATCCTAGAAGACAGTCATTTTCAGGTCAATATTTGCTCAAGTATTCATCCAATACCTATCATTTGTAAAGCAAAGCATTTACTCGATGCTGAAGGTAGATATTCGCAGATCAACATCTCTGTTCCGTGCATGCACCCGGAATTTGCCTAGAGGGAGTAGGGAAAACCACAAAACACTTTTATCAGTATACTGGGTCTCTGGGATGTGATTAGAATCTTTTTTTCCCTAGGCCGTGAGGTTCAGTGATCTGATTGAAACTAGAACCTTAACCTAGATTACAAGGCCGAAGCAATACTGAAATCAGACGAACTTACTGTCCAGACACGAACATAACTTTTCTTGTAGTACTCAGGTCTGAGACAGCTTCGTGGCATGCTACAAGCATAATTTGTACATAAACACGATATTAATGATTTTATGATAATTGTTATCATTCTAAAACAGCGTTTCTGTTCCTTTTTAGTCGTACTTCGTGCTCTAATGTGGGCGAAAAATACCTTACGGACCCGTCCATGTCCGTGTCTGTCTTTCGCGTTTTCTCCTAGGAATTACCGAACCGCATAACCCGAAGTCATTATTTGAACACACTGTTGCAACAACGTGCATCTACATCATTGTTGTAAACTTTACTTTTCAAAAATGACTTCATTTTTATCTGAAACTGCGTGTAATATTATGTAATAAAATGGTCAATGTATTCATACAAAATCTTAAGCTTAAACTGGGAGTACATACATCCCTAGTTCAAAACCGCTGTTTTGGACACTCCTTGGGAAGGGGCTAACAAAATTTCTTACGGAGACTTTCACCTTGCAACTTTCTCCCCTATGTCAATTTTATGAGAACAACGAATCAATTAGTGCAGGCGTGACAGAATACACTTTGTCTCCGGCTAAATTCTTCAATACACGAGACATTTAAGATTTTATTATATTTATTTTCGTAACTCTCATACACCCAAAGTAAAGTAAACTTTCTCCCCTATGTCAATTTTATGAGAACAACGAATCAATTAGTGCAGACGTGACACAATACACTTTGTCTCCGGCTAAATTCTTCAATAGCACGAGACATTTAAGATTTTATTACATTTATTTTCGTAACTCTCATACACTCAAAGTAAAGTAAAGTATAATTATTTTAATGACAGGATATTAACGGACGAATCAGTATCTCGACAGCTGAAATCTATAGAATGACATGTTAAAAGAATTTCTACTGAGCTGCGAGTGGCTTATTGCGCATGCGTTATATGATATTGTTACAGGGTAACATAGGCCGATTTCAAATCTAGCCTCATGAACTTACATGGTGTAAAATGTTTCGGAACAACAACATACGCTGTGCCAACGAAAAGTGTTTTTTTCTTGAAATAGTTATTTCGAAGTACCCTATTCTGATAATTCTGTTAAACTGAGTGAATTTTATGTGAACCCTTTGTTCTTCTCTTAATTTCATTCATGAATTATTTTATTTATTACATCATTCATCATTCCCTAAAAATCTGTTACAATGTGGTCATGTGTGTAAACTTACAGAGTCCGACAGAATTATGGTATAATTATCGGCTGCCTCATGCCTTTACTAACTAACTAACTAACTAGATTGTTTACCGAACCCGAAGGTTCATCACCGAATTAACCAAAGCCCTCCACCGGACCCTGTCCTGGTGTAAAGAAATCCAGTTTCCTTCAACTCCTATCTCCCATAGACTCAACCTAACGTTCAAAATAATGTAATTTCTTAGTCACCGATAATTAAAGTAGCGAGAAAATGGCTAGTTTAATTACATTACAATAAGACGTAATTATTGTACAGGCATATTGAGATACAAGATAAATATTAACCCTTGCAGGTAACCACCTCCCTTACTTGAACCAAAGTCGATCTAAAATTTGATCATAGCTCTTTGAATACTTACTAACATATACAAGTGATACATATTGTATAATTCCACACATTACATCTGCAACTTTATTACTTTCAAAGTCAAATCACGGCCACAACATGTGTTTATATGCGCATTGACTGGTGCTGTGATGTATAAACAAAGAGTATCCTTACGTCATTAACTTGTTGATGAACAAACTCTTGCTAGCAAAACTTTCAGACACCCGTAGGTCAACCGTGTACTAAAACCTGTTTCGGAAAACCTAATCAAGCAACTAATTTTCCGGAGTAAAATCATTGTTGAGAAAATATTGTCAATGAAGCGGTCAAAGAATTATGCGCCTTTTTATAGAACACAAAGTTTAATCACATTATTATGTTTTCCAACAGCAGTATTTTCTGACCTTTTTTATTTTTGTAATATAAATAATTCTATTGTTATCAAACTGTAAGATATTTTCTTTTTAAAAGCAGATAGAGAATCCCCCAGAATTATTCTTTGACCGGGCCCAACATTGCTTCAAGGCAGCCCTAGTGGTAAAGATAAATACATCAAGTGATATAATTTACTTTAAAGTTTCGTAAAAAAATAAAATTTTCTTAACTTCAACAAATAAAGATTTCGGCTTGACTTTCTTACGTCTACCGACTGACGTTTAAAGCGAACGGTAACATATCCAGGTCCACGTGCTGTCAAAATTAGGCACAAAGTTTAATTTGAAGAAGACACGTATCCTCATAAGGTGCACTGAGTACATAAAATTATGAGTAAAAAATTCCTAAATATGATACTGGCAACCATGTCTTTCTTGAAAGATGGTTAACTGTTTAAATTGAGAGATTCATTGTACACATCATAAAATTAATACGCATAACAATTTCAGATGTTGTGAAACCCACAAAGACTTATTTAAAAACTGTCCGAAGTTTAGGTAAATAAAGTGTTTTATTGTGATTACATTAATATTTATTTTAAATTAGATACAAATAGATATTAACTAGTCCGCTGTTTATATCCTGAACTGGGGGAAATTCTATCTTTAAGTTTATGTTTATTTCCCTATCAGCTAACCCTCTTACAATTTTCCATCTCAATACAGGTTCTGCACTGGTCTTTAAATCCAGCAACTTCGGATCACAGTGGCGCGTTTCTGAGCCAGCCACTTAACATTTTAAGTATAGTTTGTTCCATTTTCTTCGTAGGGATCGGCGAGCGAAGCGACACTGGTGGGTTTGCTCGCAGCCAAGGAGCGATCGGTCAGGAGGATCCAAAAGCTACATCCTGACTGGGACGAAGGAACGATCAAGGCGAAGCTCGTAGCCTACTCTTCAGGTGCGTGTTCGGAGGATGCAAACGTCACGACATTCAATCCATGCTAGTTCGAAATCCTGTCGAATGTCATGGTTTGGGGAATGTCCGACTCTTACAAGGAGACCTGATAAAGATATTTTCATGTTTCTCTCGCATTAATTCAATAACTGAAATAAACTCAAAGGCTAAGTACACGCTGAATGTTTTGTTTTGTTTCGTTGGCATAACTTCGCCTGGTTCTGCCTGAGCGCGACGTAGGATGCCCCAGCTTAGGCGTACGAATATGGCACTGTGTCAGCTCTACAGTACATTCTATCGTCAAATGTTGAATAATTCAGCTGCAAGCGTTATAGCGTTCAAAGAACATGACAGTGTGTTAGCCGTGGTGTCTAGTGAAGGTAATTTACCAGCAAGCAGAATAACAGGCAACGCGCCATGCAAAAATTCATGAATGTCGGGCAATACTAATTCGAGATGGACAGCACTGAGCATTTATCGGAGGATCATCAAATTGTGGAGCGACTGTCGATGATACAGTTATGCCATGAGTCCAGCGTGAAGGTTATGTTGACAAAGCAGAGGAGAGGGTGGTGTTATAGAACCCAATTTTCTTCTGTTTTTGTGGGGGGGGGGGTTGTTTAAGGACTTTCGTTTACATGAAATCTGATAACTGACACACCAAAGGTTAGTATATTTATCTGGATATCAGATGTTATTACTATAATTTTAAAGAAAGATTTTTTTCAGAAATATTCTTTACCAAGATTTGAAAAGTTCCTCCGGACAGAAGCTGCTGGTATATGGAACCCTAGTTCACTGCGTGTTCTGGCAGTAACATCTAGATTTATACGCCGTTCAGAAGCATATGACTGGAGTTCCATACTGCCCTCAGGGTTCCATAATATCACGTTTTCCTCTAGCAGATGTTTTGCATAACATAGTTACATTTACGTCATCTTGTTTTGCAGATCAATCCAACTCTTCTGTAGAGAAGGCAGGATTATTGGGTTCTATGCCCATGCGCCTCTTACCAACAGATGAAAAATGCCGGCTGAGGGGAGCAACCCTGGAACAAGCCATCAAGAGCGACCGGGAGAGGGGCCTTATCCCTTGCTACGTATGTACTGCATATGCACCTTCAAAAAACAGATATAAAGCCTCCTACCATTCCCCATCATTAGCACGTAACCAAAAACAAATTCCGGGCAAGATCAATAAAATCAACAAATGAACTCGACTGTTACTTTGGACATTGTTCATCGTCTTAGTAATTTATTAAAAACCACGACTGACTCCATCATCAGATCAAGGTAAGGAGAGAAGGGTATCTGCTCTGGTGGTTTCCCTAGAGACAGACAGTCTCCATCACTGGAAATTTCCAGTGAAATAACTTATAGAGATCAATATTTAGAGCAGCCAGCCTATTTTTTGATAATGGTGATTTCTAACAAGATGTAGCTTATTATGTTTCGCCTAAATGACTGATTTACTGACACCACTATTGAATGTTCTTTCTTTGACCACTTAATACACATATAGTCAGCAATTAAATACACAAATAAATAATAACCCTTCGAATTTTATCTAAATGCTGTGTAGTAAACATATAAATAATTAATTGTCTGTAAAACAACAAAGAAAAAATTAAAATAGACAAAATTAAAAGTCTTCCCACCTCCAAGATTTAGCCTCATCATCCTTCCTCTCGTTCGGTTGCTAGGAAAATATACGATATTTAAAAAATATATGAAGTGATTTATATCTATCACGTTATTTCTTATCTTTACCAGTGCAAGTCTCAGGTCAACTGAACTCTCAGTGGCAATATGGAGGGTTGGAGAAGTAATTTACCCGGGGGGAAACACAGGCTTAAAACTAATTAAGAATTCCTTAAATATTTCCTGCCCACTCCTGTTTCTAGTAATAATCTTTATTAAATAAAACACGATTTTCGAAATAAATCTCCTATATAATTACGTAGTTACCATTTTATGTATCTGTAATAATCTTTATTAAATAAAACACGAATTATTTTCGAAATAAATCTCCTATATAACTCCGTAGTTACCATTTAATGTATCACATGCGTGCTACATACCTCTTTTATCTTATAATAATTAGTTTAATTACATACAGTAAACAGTGTAGAGAATAAAATATGATGAACTCAGAATTAGTCTCGGATATGAATTTGTTAATGTCTCCTATACCTCACTTAATTAATATCTGAGAACATGGATTATGTAATAATTTCAGACACTAAATCAAAATGTGGTATCAATATGATAACTGCCCTGACGACAAGCTATTGAAAGAGATGCTGTGTTGAAGCCGGATCGCATTTCTTACATTACTGTGGAACATGCAGGTAAATTCCATCATCCTATTGGTTGGTTGTGTGCGGTATAATAATGGCGGTTACAAACATTTATACTGTTAAAATGCCCCCCTTATTTTTGAGGGGCCAGAGAAGACGCAGAAGTATAGGACCTATTTACCTAATACAAATAAGACTGAATTTATAACCACTCGAAACCGCCATTGCTACATCGAATATGATGAACCAATAGGATTGCAGCATTTACCTACAGGTTCCATACCTATGAAGGGAATGCTTAATTATGAAGTATGTAAATGTCATTGAACGCAGAAAGAAATAGTTCAAGGTTTTAAAACATTCCTACCTCATGGTGTTGCAGGTGGTGGCGACGCTAGGAACTACAGGAACGTGCGCCTTCGACTGTCTGGAAGAGTTGGGTCCGATCTGCAACAAAGAAGAACTCTGGCTACATGTCGATGCCGCGTATGCAGGTATGTAACCAGTCGTGCACAAGAAATATGCACGTCTGATAAGTTTAAGAAGGTTTTATCACTGACAGTCACACAAAGCTAATATTATTCGTTTGAAACGTAGTGGTAAAGACAGGTGTCCCAAGAAGATGTATACACACCAGCAACTTCTGAGGCCGCTTGTCAGTCAGTTGCCCATCGCTGCCTGCTGTACCACAAAGTGGTCATTTTGAACACCTACACTAGATTTGTTAATTCACTAAGTGCGAATGCTGACGTATGTAATGGTTAAGTTTACTGAAATGACTTTATGTAATTCGTTGAACGTGCTATACGTCTTTTGGGGACATTATGTTAATTCCCATGTATTTCAACAAGCAATAAGTCTACATGTTTTTGCTCGGATGATTCTCAGTTCAAACATGAATTACCACCTTAACTAACATCAACACATCTTTGTAATGGTGAAATGTATTGTTTTATTTGCAGTTAGGACTCAATTATTACCTATGATTTAGATGAACTTCGGATTTAAAGGGATAAAATTAGATCGAAGTATCCCACCTCCTTTAATTTTTTTTAATTACGAATTTAAAACAAATATAATTTACCATTTCTCTATAGAATATCTGTAATTGGCAGTGTTTATGATGATTGAACATTTTGCCACAGCGTTCAGACCGCCTAGAAAGACAATCCAGCCTCTATCCACTGAGTCACTGGAGCTGTTCCCTCGGGAATGTGTTAACCTAACCAAGTACCTCCATCCAGCGCCGGGCTTAAAAACGCGTGGAGGTGCTCTTCCATTTATCCGTACTACATCTTGTTGGGGTGCTTTATCAAGCATTGGAGACATTTAACCATATACCTTTATTATGCGTTATTAAACTACGTGCATGAAATAAGGGCGCATAGGGCCTAATCGTGTCTAATGTTGCCACATGCTGTAAGTTGAGAATTGATCGACGTATTTTGATGAAAATTGATAAGGACGTAATGCCATTGCAGGCTTCCCGAAACTCGTACGTTTAAATTTCCTACAATCCGTAATACCAAAGTGATGGTCACACGAACTTGTGGGGTGGCAGCGACATTAGTGCACTTAAAAGGGCCGAACGAGTGTGTATTCTTAAATAAAAGACGCTTTTTGCATAATTTAGAAACGCATACTTAGTCTTCTGTTATGCCACTCACAATGTGAAAACATATCGAATGCAAACAACTTTATTCTTTACAGGGTCTGCGTTTATCTGTCCTGAGTTCAGACACCTCATGGCTGGAGTAAATTATGCGGATTCTTACAACTTCAACCCACATAAGTGGATGCTCGTAAATTTTGACTGTTCAGCAATGTGGTGAGTGTCTTAGACAAATCTCCAAAACTTTTTTAAACAGTGATTTAAATATAACATATCGTATTAGGAGCGTTGTTAAATTTTTGGTTACAGTTGAACTTGTATCTCAAAACAAGATCTCTTAGGATAAATTTTAAAAAAAAAACACTTTTCTTCAGGGTAAAGGACTCGCAGTACCTTATTGAGGCGTTTAGTGTGGATCGAATTTACCTGAAGCATCAACATCAAGGCCGAACGCCAGACTACAGGGTAAGTTTTGTCTCACAGAAGAACGGTTGAAGCTACACGTTCATATATTTCCACATAAGAATATTGTGGCCCTTACAAATGGATACGTTTTTAATCACCAACATGAATAGAATTGCCTGCTTCAAATGTTGTAAAACTAACATGTACAGACCACACGTTAATAAAGATATGTTGGGACCTCGCTTAACTTAGATTCTACTAACAAGGTCTCATAACCAAGCCGCCGCTAACCCAGATCGCTTTCCTGAATGAGATCGCAAATTTCCTATTTCTGCGCAAGGTTCTTCAAAAACTTATCAGTCAAATCTGTGATCTGAGTCATTCAGTTATTATACCAGATGAACTCCAAACGTTGGGTTTGTGATAACCAAAGAAATCATAGTCAATTTCACCTAGGTTAATGGAGGTCTCAATTAACGTTGGGTTTGTGATAACCAAAGAAAACATAGTCAATTTCACCTAGGATAATGGAGGTCTCAATGTATTTACAAATTAGCATGATACGCATAGGACAAGAGAACATGCTTAATTAACAGACTATTTCAATGTTTCATCAAAAACTATAAATAGTAGACGTTTGACGTTATCACATATACAAAAAATTTTGGCCTGTACCTGAAGGGATTGTCTTTTTTCCGTTCTCTGCCAGACTGATAAGCTCCAAGCATCAATACACATGAGTCCACGATTAAACTCTGTTTGTTTCTTCCAACGTTATTCAGTTAAGCGTCAAGCCTTGTTCACACTGCTTTAATTCGAAGTAAAACTATGGAGAGAGAGTTAACAGACATTATTTATTTAGATGTCAGTAGGTATTCGAGTAACTGGACAATGGTAACTCGCTCCAGTAGCTCGACTTGCACTAAACTCGTGTGCTTAAGCGTTTCTTGTTACAGCACTGGCAGATTCCACTCGGCCGTCGATTCCGGTCCATCAAACTGTGGATGGTGTTGAGGCTGTACGGGGCAGAGGGCCTTCAACAGCACATCCGACGACAAGTGGGACTGGCACGTGAGTTCGAGGCCCTCTTGCGGGGAGACAGCCGCTTTGAGATAGTCACAGATATCAGCATGGGCCTCGTCTGCTTTCGCCTTAAGGTAAACTCGGAAGAAACAGCGCATGATCGTGTATGAACTCGTCTAGTACGTTCGTCTTCAGGAATGAGAAGACGCTGTTCTGGTAACAAGTGATATTCCGAGAACTTGCTAGAATTCACTTGCGAAATTAAACTACAGCGTAAATTGGGCAAGTCGGGCTGCAATCTTTACATTAACTCTGCAAACATTTTAGATGTAACTCGACACCGTTCTGTGTGGCACAAAGAAATTACTTAAATTTTGCAGTCTTCAGACACTGAACACATTGTTTACGGGGAGGTGGTGAAAGTATATTTTTCTAAACAAAAAACACCTGTAATACAAAAATATGCGACATCAATCAAACATCGTATTCCTTTTAATTATTTCGTGTATATTTCTTTCTTTATTGTTATAAGAATATATGTGTAGTAATGTACATAAATATTTCTTTTAAGTGCTGCTTTGGAGCAAATAACATTGCTTGTTGGCAATAGATAACAGGATTCTGAGAAGAATATTTGTGTCTAAGGGAAAGAAAGTCAATGGGAGATGGGAAACAATGCATAATGATGACATTATTAATTGTTCATCTTAGCCAAATATTAGTATTGCATTTTAATCAAAGACAACGAGACAGGCGGGGAACATAGCATAGGAGAAATTAAAAATATATGATACGTTTTAGTCCGAGAATATGAAGAAAGGAGACCATTTAGAAAACATAAGTATAGATTGGATGATAATATTAAGGACATGAATATAAACGTGTGAAATGTATTTGTCTGGTAAAAGATAGGGATAAGTGGCGGACCCTTAAGAACCCATTACTTAGACTTAGAATTCCACGAAATGTAGAAAATTTAACTACGTGATCGACAATTAGCCTCTGAAGAAGGGCATTATTTCAAGTAGTCGGGTTTATCTGTTCTGCTGAAATTACTTACAGCTATGTGAATGTTAATCTAATACAGTTCTTTAATATTTCCATGAATACGCCTATTTTATAGCTATGTGAATGTTAATCTAATACAGTTGTTTAATATTTCCATGAATACGCTTATTTTATTATTTTAGGGCGCAGACTCTCTGACGAAGAACCTCCACGAGCGTCTAATGGAGAGTAAGAAGATCTACATAATAGCCGCTACATTCCGGGACAAGCACATCCTCCGGTTTGTGGTGTGTAGCCGCATCACGGAATCGCGAGACATCGCCTTCGCATGGGAGGAGATCCGTAGTCAGGCTGAGCAAGTCCTGCACAGTGACGCACCGGTCCACTTCCCCAAGACACACAACCACGTTAAATTTAACGGGCTTCGGAAGAACTGTCCCAACAATGAGCTCAAAGTCAACGGAAACACAAATGGGCAAGGATAATGCAACGGGCATTTCAGTGAAGTAGCATTTTCAGCGGCGGTTGAGGCTAATCTGGTGATAAATTGTACGCATGGTGTTTATAAAACAAAGAAATCGTTTCCTTCTACTATACAGGGATAATGTTTAACGCCTTTTAATTTCTTCGGTATGCACACCCGCACAACAATGGTTAT